CTAAAATGTCATTTTTCGCACAATTCAAAAGTTTATGTATGACGTAATGCACACAACAAATACAATTTTCGGGGCTCCCGAAGTATGCGAACCAAGATGGCGGACATCGGAATGTAATATGTGTACTAGGTTAGGGTTAGGCCATAATTTTAGGTATAAATACTACGGGAGGCTCTTGGCTAGTCTTCGAACTGATAATAGGACTAAAATAAGAAAAATTGGAAAAAAATTATCGCCTAACCCTAACCTGTTACCTATGTTACGTTCCGATGTCCGCCATCTTGGTTCGCATACTTCGGGAGCACCCAATTTTCAAAATTAATTGAGAGTAAGAGTTGCAGGGACAGCTAATATTGGTCTAATTCGCAAGAATGCGAATCAAAACAAAATGTAATCGGGCAGTTTGCCACACATTTTTATGTCCGTGAATTGCCTTGGTATTTTTGTTTTATCTACGTAATTGCAGATTTGGTTCATCACAATTAAATAAATAACAATACCATTTTAAATATGTATATCGATCATTGATATAATATATTATTTAACAGAAAAACCATTACGTATATGTTGAAAGAGGCGGCTCTTTTACCGAATAGCGTGATCTCGACGACTGACTTAGGAGCCGCACCCAGGAGTTTATTGGGCGATGAATATGTATTTTTGATTTGCTAATGTACTTCATATGTATTTTAATTGTACTAAATTAAATATGCTTTTTGGGATTTTATACCAGATCTTTCTAACGACAATAACGAGTTCGCACGAGCGCAATATATATCAAAACTAAATCTAATCAGGCAGTTGGCCTCACATTATCATGTACGCTGATCAGCGTGGTATTTTAGATTGGTGATGAGTTTATTTTGTCATGAGTCGCCGCACCCCGAGTTACCTTGACCACAAAGGAATTAAAATAGAGAGACATTTTGAATTCTTGTAGTTGTCACAGATTGAATATTACAGGACAGAAAAAATTATTAAACCGTGAAAAAGCCGGCATTTTTAACAAACACACACAAAGACCGTTTCAGGAGACATTGCATGGGAATTTTAGATTCCATCTTGTGACATTCCCCCCTCCCTGAGAGTATCTCGCGCCCCCCAGTTTAAAAACCATTGCTCCAAAGAAGTTATGAGTGCTAAGGTTCTTCACAAGTGTGAAAAAATAAAAAAAATGCGAAAGTGCTCTAGTCGATTTTATCAAGTTGGGTGCCTCGTCCTCTTTTAACAAGTCAGGTACCCTAGTTTTTGTTTCAACTTTTTTAAAAACACTGGTAATTGATACTGGAAAAGCCATTGTGCTCATTGTAAAGGATATATTCAGACTGTGTTCAGGGTTGAAGCCCCTCTTTTTGAAATTTTCAGAAGAATGAAAAATTTGCTGGTAACGCATACGATTTCCTTCGTCGTTTTCGCCTGCATAAGGTGTTATTTGGGCCATCTTTATTTCGGAGTTCATTGACCTTTAAAACACAAATTTGCCCCGATATAAGTATTGATGACCATAATTCCTCTTTTTGGTTCTCACATGGAACTGAGTTATTATTATAATCATATTATAATCATCAGCGACAAGATGATAAATACAAATAGAGGAGTGAATCCGCAACCCAAATTTTCTAGATTGAAAAACAGCAATATAAAATACTAAAAATAAAACGGAGAGCATGACACATTTTGTTTTAGGATTGCCATTGCGGGCACTTTACCACACATTTTTATGTTTGCAGTTTGCTACAATATTTTCTGAGGAGACATGCTTTTATTTCGTCAACACAGCCGCAGATTAAAATAATCACAATTATCATAATAGAGCAATCATTTCTTTAATTAAATACCCGTATTGTTTACGAGTTCAATATTCTATGCAACAGAAAAATCCTCACATATCCACTACATAGTCGGCTCTTCTAATGAGTGACGTTATGCAGACGATTACTTCAGAAATACCGCTAAGATTACAAGGAGTTGAATATGTTTTTTGTTTTGAATATACTAATGTATTTTTAATGTACTGAATACAATTATACTTTCTGGGATTTACAGTAGATTTTGAGATTTTTTTAACGACAATAACGAATTCGCAAGATCGCAAAAATATGTATCAAAACAAATTACAATTGGGCAGCTAGCTTACAATATTATGTCCGCAGATTTCTATGGTATTTCAGATTGGTAATGCTTTTATTTTGTCAACGCAACCGCAAGCTAGCTTGAACACAATTAAATGAAAATAGAAAAACATTTTAAATTTCGTCGTTGTCATGAATTGAATATAACGCGACAGAAAAAGTTATACGAAACATTATTTGATAAATAGTCGGCTCTATCAACAAATGTGCATCCGATTTTGGACCCCCATGAAAATGCAGGGTGCCCCCTTCTGAAAATCCTAGCTACGGGCCGAGGCATTCAGTCACGATATGACCGATCATGAGTTACCCTTTGACGGATGTAAAGCCCCAGTCAAATTTCTCGCCTTACACTATCTTCAGAGTGGATCGTCGGCGAACGAACGACACTGGCTTAGGGCCAGGAGTGTGACCCTGGGTTGCGGGTCGCTTTCCGCTTTAGTGAATAAGCAAAATAACGATGGGAGTAGTAGGTGGTGTATCTGACCGAATTTACATTCTATTATCAAACAATATCGTGTCGCGTATCAAAACTTCCTGAATGGCTCTAGTACAGTAGTTCCCAACATGGGGGTCGTAGAACATACTAATTTCATGTACCACTTTTTGCTATAAAATCTATCCTAATCAGTGGTGGAGAAAATAAATTTATTTATAGACGGAAAAATTGAAAACGAGAAACAAATAAACAATGGAAACCGATTTTAAGGCTCAGGTTCCTGATTCTAGAGTCCAGATCTAGACCAATCCCAGAATCAAACTAAAGTCTCCCACTCCAAAACACACTTACCATCATGACATCGTATCTGTTAACAGCCAACATTTTAATTTGACTATAAATCTGTGTTTCCCCTATTTTTATTAAATTCACTCTTCTAAACAACTCCATCACTCTCTATGAATAAAACTTCTTTATTTATTCAACTTTATTGGACCGCTTGGACCCTGCTGGTGGAATGCGCAAGTCGCATTTCCATTTTTGTAAAATTTAATATGAAAAACTAAACATATGTGCAGCACAATATGTACTCAATTCGAAGTAAAATTCCTCCCTTGGAAAGGCAAAATTCTTCCCTTGGGCAAAATTCTTCTCTTTTTCGGAATCATTGCCATTGGTGTCGAGTTTTATCACATGTGTTGGATTATTATTTGACAAGAAACTTTCCGGGCGCAAAAGAAATTTTTTAAAGCCAAAATTTCGTCTGCGAATGTTTATTTTTTTAAAGTTTCGCAACTGTTAAGGCTCTCGTGTTCGTCTTCTAATGCCAATTGATTTGCCAATCTGGAAATTCAAAGTCTACAGAAGGCAAACTTCTGGAATGAGTAACATGGAAGTACGAGTTATGCATTACCGTTACCGTATTTTCTGGGACCACCAAATTCGATTTTGACTCTCTGTATTTCCTCATCGAAAGCTAATCTCCCCAAATAATCCGACCCCAGTAAATCAGGTAAAAAAATTGGATCTTGAAAATCAGCATGATAGCCAGAAATATGGTACCTAAAAAATAGTAGTGATAGTACACACAAAGACAGTTATAGGAAATTTAATTTGTGGGATAATGGGATAATAAAATAATTGATAGTATTTGAATTGATTAAAGATAACTTTCCAAAAAAAAAACATGTTAAAGCCTAATATCCTTTCTTTTGTAGGGTCTACTAATTTAAATTCAGCATATACCTTGAAGGGGGTCAGTGGCGCAACCAGCGGGGGGTTACGGGGGTCGTGTCCCCCCGTTTGAAATTCGTTTTTTTTTAGATATTGTTCTACGTTCAAACAACGTCTTTCTACGGTTATAACACTCCGTTGAGAAACTACTTTTTCCCAGTGCTTTATCACCTCGACGTAATTTAACACCGTCCGACTTCAATCATACCTTATTGCTGTTAGTTATCTTATAATGACTCTATCCCCGCGTATATGTATGTATTCGAAAATGAGAAATGTTACCTCAAAAAAATAGAAATAGCGCGCTGTCGATGCGAATTGAAAGCGACAATAGCATCACGCTATCTCTTTCTCTTGTGACGAATACTCTCGTGCTTCATCATCTTGACGCAATTTAACGCCGCCCGTCTTCATGTTATAATAATACAGTAGAAATTCTGAAAATCAGGATACTAAAATTCTTTTCGGAAAAATATTGCTTCGACTAAGGTTTTCAATAAACTCCGACTTGAAGTGATTATAAGACGTCGAGGACGTTTTTGGTTGAATTTTTTTTACATTTATTATCGTATATTACAATTTAGTCAAGGTAGGTTGTGCGGCCTCGGCAATAAATTTAAAAGCAAATTGCGTCGTAATTAATGTTTTCATCCTCAGTTTCGATAGTTACCGAACATAACGAGAATTTGTTTAATTTCTCGCAGCCTAGAGCAGTGGTTCCCAACTTTTAAGGGTTGGGACCCACTATTTATTACCACAGCTTATGGCGACCCATTTAACTTTAAAAAATTAATAAAACATAACACAGAACATAACAATGGCTAATCATCGCAAAACTACCGTGTTTCCTCGAAAATAGGAGCCTAATTTGAATTTTAAAAAGGATTTTAATTAAACCCTACCCTTAGCCTAAATTTAAAATGTGTGGGAGAGGAAAGTTTCAATGACCTGAGAAATGGTGAAAATCACACCACTATTCAAGATTGTGTGATATCACAATTATGATATTTGTCACTTGATTTGTGTATAGGAAATACAAATAAAAACAATGGATGTCGGTTTTTATATAATGTTCATTAAAAAATCTCGTGATTTTCTACAATGTAATTTTATTTTTGATAAATGAACACAAAAGACTTATTCGAAAAAAAAACATAGTGTTATTAAGTTACTATAAGTAGATCATTGTGCCACACCTCTGTGTTAGTTCCCAACGATAATTTGAAGGCTTGTAGTTGATCTGATGACAGGTTACAATCTTTAAGTTTCAAGTATTCAACACAGGATTGATTGGAAAGTATTTGTCCAACTGATGATAAACCTTCAACTCCCATGTTTTTGTTATCACCCAGGTGTAACAGATTGATCTATAATAAACAAGAAAAATTTTAGATCATAATAAGATTGTTGAAAAATTTTGAAAAAAAAAAAAGAAAAAGCCACTGCTCAAAACCTCAGAGCTTACCCAAAGAAAGATGAAATATTTAGAAATTAAATTAAAATAGCGAAATCATCAACAGATCATGCATTGGCATTTGGCATCATATGTGGAAACAGCACATATATATGTGTCACATTTTCACATATGTTGAGAACATAGATTAATTTAAAATGACAGTTTTTTTGTTTTTGAAATCCTAAGCAAAAGAAATAGAATTGCTGAATAAAAAATGCCACTAACTAAAATTAATGTTATGACCATTCCATTGTCTAAATCAGACATGGGCAAAGTACGACCTGTGGGCCAAATCCGGCCCGTTAAGTAATTCAATCTGGCCCGCCCGATGCTGCCACAACCAATCTAAAATCAAATCAAAGATTTCAAGTTTAAATAAAGAATGCTGAAATTTGATTGTCAATGCTGAAGCAAAAATGTTCATCTCATTCTTAGACGGGTCATTTTTGGGAAAAATTTTCCAACCAATTGACTCAACAAGTGTGTGAGCCCAGAAATGTTCAAATCAAAATTAATTGATCTAAAATTGATATCAATCAACATTTCTAATTATTGATTTTAGTAATAATTTAGAATAGTTTTTTTCAAAATTTATCATATTAGGCGAATCTCACAATATGACCAAAAAGGCATTTATTTATTTTATGTGAAAACTGTAAACAATAGCAAATCAATAAATACAGTGGTTTATCACCGAAACATATTCATTATACCAGGACTACAATGTGTACTTCGCTGAACTTGGCTTCAAATTAATTTTCAATATTCAAAAACTTTGTGCATGATTTACATAACAAACCTCAAGTATCAGTGACTGACTATGCAGAACCTTGTTCAGAGCAATAACAGGAGGATCAAAACCTTCAGTTAGCTCATTAATTCCACAAAGCTTTAATTAAAATATTTTTAAAAAAACTTGCAAAGCTTGATTAGGAATATTATTTCTGTACAGCATTTTTTATCACAGTGACTGCTCGGAAAGGGCTTCGGTCAGAGAAAAAATAAATGAATCAAAAACCTACATTTTTTTTATTAAAATTCCATGAAGCTCCGTTTAAAGATTACGCATCCAAGGTTTTAATACCTCAAACTAAGGTGAACCGATTGTGGATTTTGGTGATGACTTAACAACCATGTTCTCATCGTCGTATTTTCGCTTTATACTGGAGGATAGACATACCGCACTGTATTTGACACTACCCGCAATCAAGCTGCAATGCCGCCAACGCAGCAACACACATTTAACCATTATGACGTATGATTTGTCTCTTGACTGATTCAAAATTCCATGCCACAACGATTTTCATATTAAAACATAATTTGTTTTAATCATTGATGAAAATTTCTTCTATCGCATAATAAATTAAAAAACTGTTACACTACATTTGAATAATAATAAATTCTAGCGAGAAGAGTCGCATAAAAACAATGACGAGTGGCATTCGCCTACCGTTGTTATATACACTACATATAGAAATGCTTATTTTGACATCACAGTGGATTCTATGGAAGCTTTATGACATCATAAAATAGTTTAAAATTGGCCTAATGAATGGCATCGTTTAAGACTGGCTCTCATAGTATAAATCCAGCCCTGACTACAGCTAGAATAGTAATACTAAATACAATAACGAAAAACTAAATTGATGATGATGGGGTGGTTTATTAATTTAATTTTGATCAATATAATCTACGGTTGTGTTGACGAAATGAAAGCATTTCTCCTCAGAAATATCACTGCAATCCTCGGACATAAAAATGTGTTGTCAATTTCACGATTATAGTTCGTTTTGATTCGTATTTTTATGAATTCATCAAATCTGAGATGTTTCCACAACACTAAACTCAGCTCCATCGCAATGGTGCAATGCAATATTTTTAGGATATCACCTAAGAAAAATCCTCTAGTCTGCCATATTTATTTCAAAAAAATCAATCGATATACATTAATTCTCTTATATATGTCAGGCTCCATCAGTAGTTTTAGAAAACAAAAATGAGTGCTGCAGTGACACAAAATTTTGCAATCTAAAAAATTTGGGTTGATGATTCACACCTCCATTTATATTTAGCATCTTGTGGCTGAAGATTATGATGTAACAATAACTCACAGCCCTATGCGAAAACAAAAAAATAAATAAACACAGAAATAAGGATGTTCAAGTCATAAATAACACGTCACGCTGACGAATTTAATGCTGGCGATTTTGACAAAATACAATTTCATGCGTTATTAGCATTATTTTTCATCGTTGCAAAAATTTCAAAAGGGTGAGGGGGGCGGGGTCAACCCTGAACCTTTTGTGTACGTTCGCAGAAAAAACTCATTCCTATCCCTAATTACATTTGTTGATATTATATATGTCATATATGGAATTGCCGCATGCGACATCTGGGTGCATACATTTCATGCTGGGTCTGCGGCATTCCAGATTGTGCTATATCATCCGTTTACCTCTCGGCGAATACCCGATACTGTATTTAGCATATTTTTTAAACAATAAAGATCGAACAACAATATTTGATTGCCGACAACTCATTTAAAATAGGGCACACAAAATGATCTCCGGAGACAAATGACGTATCTGTGTAAAATAACGCTAATGGCAAAGCCCCTTGAAATTATCTTATTAGAAATTTTACGATCAAACGTTTTTCCGCCCCTTTCTAAACGACGCCCATGGCACAAGTCATTGCCGCCACACCCTAGATACGCCATTGCCGGGGACACCTGACGGAGGTAGATACAAAATTATTCTACAATTATTATTATGCTAAAACCATTGTAGAGAAATTGTAAGGTATGTTTGATGGTCTTCCTCATTTTTTACAACATTTTTTCACAACAATCTTCAAAATGTATCGAGAGGGTATATCTTTGATAATAAAGCGCTACTCTTACTACCATTCTAAAGCTACAGATCAATGCTATTCATTGAACGAGCGTTTCTGACAAAGCTAAATTGTATTTTTTGACTGTTTACTCTCCCAAAAATGTCATTTAAGTTCTTGATTTTCAATAATAACTTTTTTAAGTTAGTTACGAACATATAGGGTATGGCTAATCACAGCCATCAGGCCTGAGACAATGACGACATAACAATATTCGCGGAATATGAATGTGAGAGAAATATCAGGAATCTAGATATGTAAGAGGCAATTCGACTATTCGCGAATTAACCACAAAACGATTTGAATATTTTGCGACTCTATTAGACAGCCCTGAATATATCCTTTCTAAGAGGCACAACATCTTTTTGAGTATGAAATACCAGTATATATAAAGGAGTCACAACGAAATCTAGGGCACCTAACTTGATAAACTCGGCCAGGGCACATAACTTGTTAAAATAGGCACACACTTTCTTTTAGATTTGCGAAGCACCTTTGCACTCATAATTTCCTTAGAGCAAACACTGACCTCATACATATGTAAATGACTGTGGTGCGCAAATGCAATAAAATGCTTTCTTATGGTCAGAAACTACTGATTTGAAAATGTTGAGTCAGCGCATTGGAAAGCTGCCAAGAACCAACTATAACCCAGATAAGAATTGACAGCCCTAACTCTGTTATAATGACTTAGTATTGAGTTAGCAATTATTTTTGGTCATTCATTCCATCCTTGGCCTTGTTATATTTTGAATGATAATTGCACATTTTTTTTTGATAAACTATGCTCGGTGATGAAATTGTAAACATAGTAAACCTTGTAAAATAAAATGTAAAATTAATTATGATTTCATTGTAACGCCGCACATTAGATTGTTTACATCGTTAGCGTTGAAAGAAATAACATTTGTTGCATTAGAAAGCCTCTGTGCAGTAATAATTGGGTATTATTTAGGGTGTGACGTCATCAAGTTGTCAAGTTCATTGTTGAATTTGTAAATTACGTAAATAATACGTAAATATTCGTAAATACATTTGTGAATTTCTCTGTAATGTTTTAACTAAAATATTGGTTGTGGTGTTGTTCTGTTGGAAAATAACACAAGAAAACGATAGAACTAAAATTAATTAACTATAATTAACTACTAGACACAATAACACTCAAGTTCAAGGGTATTTTGTCCAAATTTTTGAGCATTATGTCGCATATACGAGGAAATATTTTGAAACCTCTAGCGACATCTCGCGGAATAGAACTCTAGCGTACGCATTTACAAAGCCATGAGCAATGTTCTAGGGCCTAACGGTTGACAATGATATAAAACTAGAAGCTGACCATACAAAATAATACAAAATACCCCCCGGAATTAGAGGGTTTCAAAAGCCATGGCAAAGATTTTGGATTCAAATCCCAGGTCCACCATATAACTCCATGCATAACAATTCTGTGAGAACTTTCAAACCAAAAAAATTCTGATAAATAATTTAATACACACGGAATATAATGGCACATAGTAAAATATTATTGTTTAGTAGTAACTTACTAAATATCACTTGCTGCTTGCATAAAGCCTTATTTAAAGTTAATGAACAAAAACACACTTTAAAGAATTTAATCTAAAAAACTCCACTATATCGTGTTTTGCACACATTTTATAGTCAGTAAGTCTTTATCAAACTATGTTTAAAAAAAAGTAAGACATATTTTGTACTAAATTACGCAAGCTTCTCACCTTCACATTCGATCCTTCCAGTCCAGATGCCAGAATTTTAAGTGAGGCTGACTTGAGATCACAACCTCTGAAATACATTGATAGTGATGTACAGTAGGAAGCTACTGATCCAATGACATGAACATCACTGATGGAGAGAGGACGTTTAGACATGTCAATTCTATCAAGAGATGATTTGACAATGTCACTCATTCCATCCTTGGCTTCGTTTAATGCAGTGAAAAGTTCGAAAATATCTGAGCTTGGCTTGTACTGGTACCGCATTAGCCCGTAATAGTGGCGTGACGTTGGATCCTTGAGGGTTAATTGCAAACTTTTTTTGAGAATATCTCGTTTTTCCTCAAAATCTTTGATTTCTGTGAAAATATAAAAGTAAATCTATTATCTGCAAAGCATTTACTGATGATGATTGGTAAACATCTGATAAAGGCCAACATAATAATGACATTAACCTTTATCTTTTTACATAAGTTTCGGGTCCAAATCCCATGATGAGTGCAATAAATCGGGTAGGTAATGCCAAACAAGAAAGATTCCACTCTCTCCATATAATGGTAGCTCCCTACATTCTACACAAGTTTAATATTTGTGGCTGCTTATACAGGGCCTTGTTCAGAGCAACGAAAGGCTTGAATATGCTCCATATAAAATAATTACGTTAAGTGGAAGGCTAAATTTAGTCAGCCAAAGGTAATCAATGTACACAGTGGCGCAACCAGGCCGTTTTCAACGGGGTGTCCTGCCGGAATTGACTCTGTGCAACCACGACTTAAGTCGCAACGCCACTAGGTGTCGCCCCAGTGTCTGAAACACGACAAATTGCTCCTGGATAATAAGGAAACGCCATCAATTAAGTCACAGCTTCGCTTACTTTGCCCTCATTCATTAACGGCGCTACCTCGTGGGTAGCAAACGCCGTTCATTACATTACATTAAGTTTTTTTATTTCTTGTAATTTAGAGAGTGTAGAACAGATCTTGAATAGTATTTAATATCTATATATCGCTGATTTTATCGGCATCCGCCGTTGATGACAACATCGTTCAGATTAAGTTGGCGGTATTCATTTACAAGCAAAATTATATAGCAGCCGACATGAAATATTCAAATCAGAGTCCAAAATTAAAACACGTTCTACGGCCTTAATATACACATAGAAAGAAGAAAGAACAGAGAAATAACGACTAAAAACTAAGATTGGTATGTTTGTGTACTTTTGTTTACCATCGCTATCATAATCAAATAAGTGAACCCGATTCCCAAATTTCCGTCCGCCAATAATAGAGAGAATTAAAATTAAAAATTAAAAAACGTGTGTTATTTTTCGAGTCAGCACTGATTTAAATTTTTCATGATATGTGTCATAATTTTAATTTTGATTATAAATCAATACCCCCCCAACTTAAACTGAACGATATTGTTATCAACGACGCCGAGATAACGATAAAATCTCCGATAGAAACTAAATAATATTTAAGAGCTATTTTATACACTCTAGATTGCGGGAAATTAAAAAATTTCCCGTTATGTTCGATAACTATCGAAACTGAGGATGTAAACAATTACTTACGACACAATTTGCTTTCAGATTTATTGCCGAGGCCGCACAAACTATCTTAACTAAATTGAAATATACGATGATAATTGTAAAATATTTTCAATCAAAAACGTCCTCCAAGCCTTATTCGATATTCGAATATTAAATTTGAATTGGACATTCCTGCATTAAATTAACCTAAAATAAACCAATACCATCAGACACGTTTTTTGAGTTTTAGGCCTTTCATATGTAGAAAATCTTACGTTAGTCAAAGCTATATTTTTCCGAAAAGAAATTTCGTACTGTATTATTATAACATACTGCAATATTCTAACATGAAGACTTGCGGTGTTGCATTGCGTCAAGATGATGAAGCACGAGGGTATTCGTCACAAGAGAGAGAGAGAGAGGTAGCGTGATACTATTGTCGCTTTCAATTCGCATCGACAGCGCGCGATACAAACATACGATTCGAATACAAACATATGCGCGGGGATAGCGTCAATATTAGATAACTAACAGCAATAAGGTGTGATTGAAGTCGGGCGGTATTAAATTACGTTGGGGTGATAAAGCACTGGGAAAATGTAGTTTTCACTGGAGTATTATCACCGTAGAACGACGTTGTTTGAACGTAGAACAATATCTAAAAAAAAAAGAATTTCAAACGGGGGACACGACCCCGTAACCCCTTGAAATTTTTGGACTAGAGTCTGGTCATGCTTGTCATTGCACTCCAGATTCTCCTGAGCTAGAATTTTTGGTTTAATTGAATCTAGAGTAAGATGTCAAGTGTTAATATACCACTTGGATACATTTTGTTTGTTTTACACAAAACTTCATAGTAGCATCTGAACTCTATGGACAAGAATTACAGTATTTATGCATAATTTTTTTAAGCAATGCTTATTCATGGCTTTATTCATAGTACAAGCATCCACTTAATATCTAATGATATGTATCAAGTAGCTGCTTTTGGAAGAACCGGAATCCGTCTGGATCAAATTTATCACACATTTAAGAAGAAACAGATATGAAATTTTAACCCGAGATGTATAGCCTATGATGCCAAAAGAGTTGGTTGAGACTAATGCTTCAACCGCTAGGTCATCACCAGTGTTCACTATTAGCGCACTTTTTTGCGAAAATTGCGAAGCACTTTCGCAACTTTTTTTAGGGACCGCGAAATAGCACTTTTTTCCGATTTTGAAAAGAAATAGCACTTTTTTTCATTTTGAATGGAATAAAAATTCAAAGTTGAAAAATGTTTTTGTGTGCGTATTAAGTTGACAATTAAGTAACATACTAGTACTTTTGTAACTCAATTCTGCATATCATAACGATATTGACCGGAATTCTAACCTATGTGGTGAAGACATGGAAGATAAAGCTTTTGCATTAATGGCAAAATTCTTGTTTATAATATGATTATTATACAAGCACACCGATTCCGCTTCGACCGCGAAAACGCTCGGCGGCGTCTTTGAAACCAGATGTCCGAATGCAAGGCAGTGCGTTTCTCTAAACGAGAGTGGTCATGTGACTGTCAATGACATCGATGAATTGTGACCAAATTACACGATTTTCTAGTACTGGTTTGACAGGTCTGTGTTCTCTTCTTAGGGAATTTACTGGAGCCATTCAGAAATTTCTGATACTCGACACGACATTGTTTAGTAATGGAATGTAAACTTGGGCCATTGTTTGGTAAATTAGAAGAAACTTTTAGCAGCATCTCACAGATTTGCAAAATCGCCAAATTGACAAAATACATACGTCTTATTAACATTTAACATCCATTTTATTGTAACCACGAATGTTAAAAGCAAATGGCGTTTCGCGGAATTTTGCGATATTCAGTATTAGCTAGTCTAGTCATTCACGATAAATCAAACTCAGACCAGGGTCAAAAATCAATCTAAACTATTTCCTCATTAATATGCGAGTAGGGGTGGGCAAAATCGAATATTTTTTCGAATTGAATATTTTCAACGAATGAGCAATATTTTTTATGCACAGCAGGAGTCTGGAACGTCGGTCGAAAAATTAGCAAGGAAGCCTTTTCTACTGGTTAATTTCGTTATAATAGCTAATTGTTTTTGTCACCGCAATCGTTTTGGCGACTATATCCTGGGTTTGGCAATCCAGGCTTACGCGTGCGTTCACATCGGCAACAGCTGTTAAGGGCATCAACGACAAATTTCAAAACTAAAATAAACATTTGCGTTGACTTGATATTACCTATCAACGTTTGTAAATTTACTGTCCCAATTTAAAGCGAATGGTATTATTATTATCGATGCCGGAATGCAAATATTTAATACGATAATTAACTTTTATAATTTTTTTATGGTATCTGTATTAATTTACAGATAAACCTCGCAAATCTGAGATTGTGCCAATCCTGAATGTTGATTTAAAATTGTGATTAAATAATTCGGCAATAAAGGCATTTCTGCGTGGCCATAAGACGAGATGACTTTAATAAACAGCACTTCTTTAAGGATATGCGACTAATGCTAAAAACACTGGGCTCGAGTGCTCTGGTGCCTAATCAGGCGCTAATTGCAACTAATTCAACTCAAGTTTCAACGATTTTTTTCGTCTTCACGATATGTTCTCTTTTTTTATTCGGTATTGATAATGATAAATAAAAAATGTGTAATTGTTGATTGCAATTCCGGAAAACGAACGAATTTAACCGCGGTTAACCGCGCATTGGAAAGCAAAACACAATTTATTAACATTACTTTACAATGAGTTACGGGTAAGAATCAACCAGACGGCTATCGCTAACATGTAGAAACAATAAATTTGAAACGATTTTGTATAAAGCGTGTCAACATCGTTTTTGTAAATTTAGAAACGTCGATAAGTACGACAAGTAAATATTGTATTTTATGGAACTTTCATGAGATATTGGTGAGAAATATTATTTTGACCATGTCGAAATGCCATTATTGCCGATTTATTCACGTGTTTAGTTACTATCAGTGTTTTAACCCAAAGCTGAGTTACGTAAATACTTAACACTGAGTACTCAAGAGATAACCAATTTGCGGAGTTTTTCAATTATTATTTCATACGAAAGTAACACAGACACGATCTAAAATTAAAAGCATAGAAATGTCAACTATCTGCTTCACAAATATCGCATCCCGGGGTCAGTTTTAATATTATTGTTCGCTTAAACTCGGGACGGTAATTTACGAACTGATACAAATCCCACACAGAAGATAAAAATCAGAACAAAATCAATTTTCGTTGTGAATGCGCTCATTAATAGTTGTCTTTAAAATCTTCGCCGATGGGAATTCACAATTCTATCCGAAATATAAAAACCAAACTACGATGTCCGCCGTTACGTGAGAATTAATATTTGCTAGTGAATAAAAACATGCTTTAATATAGTTTAACAACACGAGCAGACAAAAAAATTACTGCAGCCTTCGATTATGACAAAATTATGAAATAATCATTGAATGACAATAAAAATTTAACTTCATTAACAATAATTTTCAAGTAATAGTTTCACATTTTCATGATTTTGATCGTCGCTACATGCGAGCGTGTTTTTGTACATATAAACCATGATGACACTACTGACATCTGCGAGTTATAGATCTCTCCAAATTTAATTTTCGCGATTTTTAATGTTTCATTTCTAGATGCGGATGCCCGCTGACTACGGATAAATGGTCGATGTTTAAAAATAGGACTTCGGACCGTTGGGCAAAGAAAGGCGGGCTACACGTAACTGCGAAATTTCGCCGTGAACGACCTTACATTTTAGTTATAAACGCATTACGTCGTCGCGAATTGCAGTTTTGGTGTAATGTTTTAACTTCCCCCTAATCTCCTGTTAAAAAAAATTCTGGCTGCGCCCCTGCCCGGTGATAATTCTAGCTAAAATGTTACAATTTTATTTACGGAATTTGCAAATTGACCATTTTGATAATCACGCCCTAATTATTGGTGCAAAAATACACAAAATATCACGAATTTAATCATTTCCGATGTTCCTAGGCGCAATTCATGACGGCGACAGTGTGCGTTGTTACATCGAAATTCACGATTGATTTTACGTTATACTCTTGTTCACGATTTCAACACTCCACCCGCCATGCATGGCTGAGTGAGAGGTTCACATTTTCGAAACATTACTTGGCCAAGGATGGGAGGGATCACTAACGAGCTAATTGAAAGCACATTAAAAGGATTATGAATTGTCATTTTTTTCTGGTTATAGCCTGTACATGTTATACCATGTGTGGGCTCTCGGAACGTCAATTTACCTTTTAATTTACGACAATCAATTGTATGTGCGGCTCCTACATGAAACGGCTAATTCATGCTGCCAATATACGGAGTTTGAAATCTGGGATATTTATTTCAAATAGTCTATTTATTTTGACTCTTCTAAAATTAGGAAGCTTTGTTGGTGCCTTTTTTGGCGCAAAGTATGAAATTGAAACGATACGAATATTTTGCCCAGTCCTATAGGCGAGGTTATGATATTAAGGCAGAGAATATTTGTAAGCATATCACTGAATGGAAATATTTTGCACCAAGACTGTTTGCAGAAGTTGATTTATCGAATACACGGAAAGTATTTATTTATCATCTCACTTGCGAACATCGGGGTTTGGGCGGAATTATACGATTATGTTGTTGTTCTTGAATAATAACTTTTTCGATGAATGTTTATTTTACTTTTGTGTATTAATTATGATATGTTGAGTTTTCGTTTATTTCAAATTCGAAATCGTCCGGAATACTCGAACAGGTGTAATAAGTGTTGATAGTATAGTGTAATCGAGTAACCAACTTAGAAGTCTTTAGAGATGTCTAATGAACTTGATGTGTTACGGGTGTCGTAACCCCCGTTGGGTGTCGTAACCCCCGTTTTTTTTTTTATTAAATTTGATTGTTCTACCTTCCGCTTATAAAACAACATCGTTATACGGTCATCTAAGGTAACTCTCGCGACCAAATCTTTTTGTTCTGTATGGCATCACCTTAGCGCCATTTATTACCGACTGAATTTTAATTGTGATTTATGATAAGTTATTTTCTGTTAGTTGGCGCTGATAACGTGACTAAATTCTTTATAAACATTTTTATTATGCTTAATTTTAAAATTTAAAATTTTTTTTAAATATGCTCCTTACGTCTCTGCTATAATTGACAAGCGATAGCACAAGATTCAGCAACAAATGATAAGCAAAGCTATTTTATAATCATGGGTTGCTTAATAAAGATTTGCTAATTATGGCAGGATATAAAGAACATGGCCTGAAATATATAATTAACAGAACGATGTTTATTTTTCAGTCGACGAAAACCCTTAATAATAACGATTGCCGAAAATCGCGAAAAAAATGAATACGGATTTTCGATTGTGATCAGATGACTGAGAGGGCACATGTTTTTTTCTCTGTTCAAAGCAGATATAAAACGAATACCATGTTGCCAAAAAGCGGTTACGTGTTATCTTTCTTTAGCCAATCAAAATAGTGGTAATGGTATATAAAAGAGGTTTCTAAACTTTACAAACTCGGAACGCAATTAATATTAAAATTACAAGTAATGGTGCATGGAAAAACGAATTTGATTTTATTGAAATTGAAACGCACACACATAAGAGTTTTACATTTCATGCACAACTAACCGATGCTACATGTGAGATTTGTGTACATGAACGATTATATATCGCGATTATTTATGTGAGAATGCGTACTTCTCTTTCAACTTTAATTTCCAGGATTTCGGCGTTCACGTGGTCGACTAAAAAAGATTTATCAAATGGATTGGTATTTCGTGTCACACCAAAATTATTTGGGTTTATTTTTTACATTCATGTTTTTTTCAAGAATCACCCTGTTGTATTTCCTGTACCTTCGCAAAGGAAAACTCTTTGGTGTCATCATTACTATTATTGTAATTATTATAAAATTACACGACTTAGCGTAATCCGTGAGACAGTATAATATAAATTAGGCCAAGCTAGCTCATGAATGGGATATCAAAGTGATCTTGCATAATATTTCGGAAAAAAAATCTTCGATAGAAAGTAGGTCACTCTATCTATAAAAACAGCGGTACTTTCATGGTGATCTTGCGTTATTTCCCAAAGAAAAACTGGCCGGAGAAACATGACGTTAACCAATCTCTTAAAAGGGAAGAGGGCGGACTACTTTCAAGCATATTCTTTCGGACGAGGAAGCGTGTTATACTAAAGCGATATTGGTGATGGGGATGTCATTTTGCCCGGGTTTTGTACAAATGATCCCCCTCCCTAGCTATGGCCGGTAGTAACTAATATCTGCATGTATCAATCGGTGTCTGTTAGATGGAAGAAACAAGTTTGCAAGGCTAGTCTGTTCAGGCGGGAGTGCGCTTCGTTACTGACGCTGGTGGTTGATTGCACGAAACTTTTATTCCCGACAAGTGTGCTTATCAGGTCTCCTTTGATGAATTCGCTTGTTTTTAACAAGAGTTTAAACGAAACTTGTTAACGGAAAGACTTCAATTCACAATATTAACGGAAGGAGCGCTTTTTCGAGTATCTATGCTGTTTGAAATGAGTTTAAACGAAAGCTAGGGCACCTAACTAGTTAAAATCAGAAAAATCACTTTCGCACTTTTTTTTTCGACTGCGAAGCACTTTCGCACTCATAATTTCCTTAGAGTTAACACTGGTCATCACATTGACTAATTAACTAATAATGCAAACAAGCAAATTCCTAAACCTGAAAATAACAAAAAACTGCCTCTATCAATTTCAAGCAACATGGTGAGCAATAAGTTAAGGCTTAGTTTAAGAAATATTAAATTTATAAGTCATATAAGTGTATATCCAAAGCGGAAAAATATCTAATGTTTTCCAGATTTGAGTCTAGAAAAGAAAACGCCTCCAATCCTGGAATTGTAACTATGTTAAACACTTAAATTCAACACACTATGTTCAACATCAACATACCTCCAAGTAAATTTCTGGCTTCTTCATAAACTGTGGGATTTAATAAAAGTCCACACATCATTTTTCTGATGAGAACAAAGTGACCGGTATAAAGATGCTTATCAATGAACTGCTCGAAAGATTTTAAATCTAGACCAAGAACATACAAAGATGTGAGCATTTCTTGAATACTTTGATGTTGAAAGTATAGAAGGTGGATTCCTCGAAGAAGTTTACGATAAATTCCTCCAGGAGCTAGGATGGCTAGATCAGTTGCTTCTTCCAGCTTTAGATTGACTTGATGAAAATCATCTTCTGTAAATAGAACTCGACGTTCTACTGTCCCATTGTATGATAGTTCTTTTAATTTGTCCAAAGCTTCCAAAATATTCTCTTGGTGAGTGTGTGGTGATCGTAAAATGCTTTGCATGACCACAGTCATAATACCAGTCATAGTGTTTGGCTTGAAGTCAGATTTGAATTTCAAAGCTATCAATGTATAAACCAGCATCACAGGTGTGGTGCACGTTAACAAGTGTAATGGAGCTTTGATTTTGAGAAATTCCAATATTTTCTCTGCTTCTTCATTTCCTTCATATCCATAAATAATTTCTTTGATTGACTCCATTGTTAATCCAGCAAGTGCAATGACCTTGTCTGGTCGAACTTCTCCCCAATAATTTCTGATGGAATGTTCACGACTGGAAGATAAAATGCGACAGCCGGGAAATAACTTTCCAGCGAGAAAATTCCATGTTATTACTTCAGGATATGCAGGCTCATCTGGGCTGATGATTTCATAAACTCCATCAATTGTATATTGAAGAGTGTCCAAGGAGTCGAGCATAAACAAAACTTCTTCTGGGTGGGTTTTTGCATAATCAATTGCTAGACCTCTTTCTTCCTTTGGGAGATTGTTGAAAATTAGTTCACCTGCTGTTACTTTACTGTTATTCATATATTGTTTGCATTGTATATATTGAACCATCTTGATGGTTCCTTGAAAATATATTCCATGCATGGCATCTCTCGATGTTGCTTTCATGAGTGTAGATTTACCCGATCCCGCGGGACCCACGAAACATACATGACCTTGTTTGAAGTTGTTAAACAATTCATCAAGATGAGTATTTTTTCTGATCCCTCTTTTTCTCTCTCTTTCCAAATTTTTTTGGAACTCAGATGACTCTGGTACGTAATCGTATTTAGATGTTCTTCCACTCTCCTCTTCCGAATCATCTTGAAACTTAGATGACTCTGATTCGTAATCGTATTCAGGTGTTTTTTCTCTCTCTTCTTCCGAATCTTCTTGGAACTCAGATGACTCTGGTACGTAATCGTATTTAATTATTCTTCCACCTTTATAAAAATCAATTTCTTCCAATAGAGGAGTGACGTCCACATTTAGTTTTTTCTCAAAAACTTCAAAAGGTTCGGCAAAGTCATAGAAGTCAGTGCACTTGTAAGTGTTCTCATTGATTTTTGCTATTACTTTTTGATAAGACATTATGTTTGCTTTACAATGTCATTGAGTTTTAACAACCAGTGTACGGACAATGTGGCAAAGCTTTATAAAAATTTATCCAACTGTTGTGAAATTCACTACTATATTTTTCCGACAATATCTTATAAGTTCTGGGATACAAACTTTAACTAAAGCTGCTACAAATCTGAACAGAAAATATTTGTTAACCAGGTGCGATGAAACCTAACATAGATACCAACAAATCCGTTATGGTTGATATAAAATATACACTTTTGTAAACAGTCACAATTGCAAATATCATGTAAAATAGTCTCAAAATTAAGATTAATGTGTTTTACTTGATCTCAAGTTAATTAAGTAATTTTTTATGATGTTTTTATGCGACACCCATTCCACGCTTTCTGTTTTGAACAAGGCCATCTATATAAGCAGCCACTGATATATAACAATATACAAGGGACTACTATTTTTAGTAAGAATTTTTCCAGACCTCAAAAAATCACCTTATATTACCGGTAAGTGTTTTAAAAACAGGAAGGCAGAAAGGAGTATCCCGTAATAAACATAGTGGACTAATGAATAATCATAAAATGTTTGTCCACATATTTTTAAATTTTTCTTGAGGATAAGCAAACTCATTGAAAAGTGAAATATGACTATTCTGAAGTAAGGACCCAATGGTATATACCTGGGAGTGTGCATACTGCGGCCCGCAAAAAATTGTGGGGCCCGCAGCAAAGTGCCAATTATGAATAGTGTGCCCGCGAAACAAGTTTTTAGTTTAGGTAATCTGGTACGTGTGAGCAATTCCAATCTATACCAGTATCTGAGTGCCACTGTCATATTAGCAAAACTAGCTAGCAAAATCTTGTAGCTAATAACACAATGTTATAAGAGCGTGTTTCTTACTGAATTCGTTTAATGTCGGTGTGAAAACGAATGTGAATAGCTGTTTCCTTTGAAAATTTATACGTTTTAAATCAACATTTCTGAAAGGACTCCTAACAATGCCGTACAATCAATACCAAAAAGAAACAAATTTTTGTATTGCAACTACAGAAGAAACTCTACCTACAAAATTTTGGTGGGGTAATAGCTGAACTCAAATTAAGCGCATAACTACTGAGGATATGAGTCTCGATATTAAAAATAGCAGTATTTGCAGTTGACATGTGATGAGCTATCATACCCATGATCCACCACCATTAAAAGTGCAAACCGGTGTACAGAAAATTTTCTTCGTACATATAAATAAAAATCAACACAATTATTATTTCACAACCTGAACCACTAGAGATTACAATTTATCACATCAAGCCCAATATAATCTCATACAAAGGTACGCATAGTCACATTATGTTTTTTTTTTACTGTCAAGCATGGGAGTGATCTCATTTGTGGTCCATGCGAATTATATCACCCCTTCATGGATGATTGGTCATATGAGGCAAAGTGAGTGTTTGTTTTCCCATTACTTTCCGGTTCGCTTGGTGACTCAAACACGTTTATAGACCGTGACGTAAAAACGACTGTATCAGTAGAATTCTAACTGTGAAGTTGGGCAAAAATAACTTTGCGGACCGTCACAGCAAATAGTTGACAATCATCAATGAATTTTAATGAAATATAACTTCAAGATAGTATTGTTGACAAAAATTTTACATAATCATCAAGAATATGAAATAATAGGATAGAACATTCCTTTCAACCACTAATAAAAATATATCAACTTTCCCTCCCCTGATGCATAAGTCAATTCGGACATTCAAAGGCTACAAAACTGAATCAAACCAAATTCGGTGTTTTTCCTAAAGTATATTGATGTAGTGAATTTGTAATTTTAATAACTTTCACTGTTGACATCTGAAAATCAAACTAAAGACGGGCTTATTCAACTACTGATTACCAACTGTAGATAATATTAAATTAGTCAAAGCCTTAGGTTAGAAGTGACGCATGGTATACTTCTACACAGGATAGGATTCACATATTTATCCGGGGGTAGAGGAAAGTCGATAAAACGGCTCAGCCATATGGCGAACCACGGCCTCTCGTCCAGCTACCATTCCATGTTCGGTATAGGATTAGTTAGTATTTTTTTCTTTTCTTTTTCGGAAGCATGGACTTGGTGGTGGAGGAAACTGTAACCGACCAGCGGTTACGTGAGCCACCATACGGCAGTGTGGAGTCCAGCAATCCTCTCGCATATGACTATCCTTGCATGGGATTAGAACATGCGAACCCACGCAGAGCCATCAGAGTTATTCCTAACGCTAAGCAGGATGAGCCACACCGTCGCGCCATAAATATACAATAATTCGTGTACAATGCTATTGAACTAGCTACAAAATGTTTTTTCGCCCTGTGTAATGCCACATGTAACACATGTGCTTCTTCCAATGGAGGTAGCACCATAGCCAGTGTTTTGAAAACAGGGATTATCAAACACATGTCAATTGATATTCGAAACTTAAAGCATAAATATTGGGAACTACCCTAAACAAGCAGATATTGCCTAGTGTTTTAAATATAGCAATAGATAAAATGTAATACATTTTTACACAGGGCATTCCAAGTTTTACTTTGGAAAAGACCCAAAGAAAGCGGATATGGACTTGATAATCGGTATGATTCCATACTCATTTTTCATCTTCTAATTGCCATGAGTTTTGATAGGTAGCTTAACGATTAACCGTATTGATTATTACGGGGAATTATGAGAGAACGAGTGCGATTCCAACTTTACACACACATGAGTCCAACGTTTATTTGCTGACGCCCGTAGCAGCAGCCACATTTTCAAAGTGAACATAGTCCTGGAAAAAAGTTACAACTGATCATGCCAAATTAATACAAAAGTAGAAGAGAGCAACAACTGTTAATTTTATTTGATTTTCTGCATATATGCATTTTCACACTTTTAATCCCATTGTGTGGATACGTGAGAGTAAGACCGATATAAATAACAGTTTAAACGTGTGTAACCTTTTCTATTATACGAGAGCAGTACGACTATGGTTGCAGGATAATGGTCAACCGCTCTGGTTGCCCTCAATGATACAAGCAACCAAGCCCGGGATTAACCGTTCCTCTGTTTGAATGCCAACGGTTGAAATTGTGTGTCAATGTTAATATACATAATCAATGTATGGTGTGAATTGCACAATAAATTATTAACGTTCTTCTTCGCAATCAATGTTAGAATAAATTTCTTTCTAAAGCATTTTGTAGCTGGAGCATTTTATCTCCTAAAATAAAAGAGGTTCCAGTAATAAACGTCGTTCAACTACCGGCGACCTTAGCAAAGTTGAACAGATTGATAAATTACAATATTCATACTTGGAATTGTGCAGGACAAGTTTGTGCAGAAACTGATTACGACTTTTTCAAAAATTATGTCAGTTGTTACATGTGCTGGAACAAGTCTACTCTCTAAAGTAAACAATGATATTACAGCCCGACCTTGCGAGGTCTTTCAAATCGCTATCAACTGTGAACGAATATCAAGCTTGGTACGATACCGGAGAAATTCTATAAACGCTGTGCATGAACGTACATAGTATGATCGCGCAAAACGTCAAGAATGGCGCGACAAAGGAAATGTTATGTTAAGGACAGTATTGTGTCGACGGGTAACGTGATACGCACTCGCGCGTTATGGAATGTTTCGGTCAAAGAATTAGCTGTTTTAAATTGAAATAACAAATAATAAAGCAGCATTTAATCTAATTGAATTCAACGATTAATAAACAAAGTATAACTGATAAAGCAGCTCTTCGATTCGTGAAAATATGGCGGGAGAGAAAAATACAACGGCCCTCGCTCAAGATGAAAGAAAAATCGTTTGGTTAAGGTTTAGTTTGGTTTGGTTTAGTAACGATTCCGCATTACGTGTGAAATTGAAATTCTCAAATTATTGGGGGGGGGGGGGGTGTTATTCTCAAATTGCACATTTAACGCGCTACATCGGCGTCCATTACAAACCAAATGTTAATTATTACGATGAGCACTGAAAGGAACAAAAAGTTCATGTAGCGCAAAAGAATGGCCAGTTGTAAACATTCTTCTATAAAACATTGTAAATATGCGGTCGGGCATGATCTGATAACGAATTGGCTATCTTTTGAACCAAGTAATGCGATAGGTTTTCGGGGGTTATATTATCTTCTGTCTTTGTCGTAAATCAAAGGAAAACAGGTCACAAAAGCTTGTTTGGATTATCGGGCACAACGGTTTATTTTCAAACTCCCTTGCCCTAATTAAACCAATCCATCACAAATGTCACAAAATATTTTCCCCTTCCAGATTAAAATAGGCCAATGGCCTTACTTGAAGATAATTCGGTTGTTATAAATCCGCTGACTTCAAAAAGGCTATCTGTAACCATGGAGTATATATGCTCGATGGAAAATTCGTACAAATGGATATGCCATATTTTCCGACAGCAAACATGAAGAAAGCATAATACATGCATGAACATCTAATTCTTCAATTTTGAACAAACTATAATATAGTTGTAATATCGGACAATAATTGGTCACATTGCATTTCTTAGACAACCTCAGGTTAAGCAAAGTTTTGCGATTTTTCACTGGTTTTGCATCAGGATTCATCAGGCTACTTATTCTACTTCAACTAATCAAATTATAAACAAAGTCCGGCATTGTAGCATTGTCGGTATTCACAGAAATATACGAAACTTAGCCAGGATAAACATATGATTCTTCATTTTTGAACAAACTATGATATGCTCGTAATCGCGGACAAAAATTAGACATGAATATGTTTGAGTATTCCCGAATTGCCTTTTTCTAGACAAGAAGTATGAGCAAGAATTTCGCAATCATTTCAATCGTTTTTCATCATGATTTATCAGACTACGTATTAATGAGTATCAGGCTCAGAAAAACAAAAGAGCTGTGCTCAAATATATGGACAAGTAAAGCATTTCGCCAATTTCCGAAAATCATACCACAGTCCACCGTTTGGCATAAAAAACTTCCACTCTCGCTAAGCACTGG